TGCAGTTTTTCGTCTTACAGAAACAATTTTTGTTTTTTAAAAAACACTCCCGATATTACAAAACAAAATTACTCCAAGTGAAAAAAAAAAATTCACACTCGGACTAAATATATTTCGCAATATTTACACAATAGTTATTTATTTTAAAAGCCAAAAAAAGTGACTTAAAATAAATAAACATATTGATGATAATCGAATAATGATGATGAAGAATATCAAAAAATCTCAAAATAAGATTTTTGAAAAGCAGCAACAACCGAAGAAAAAAAAACTGATTGAAACAAATTTTATAAATTATAAAAATTATTCAAATTTCAAAAAAGAAAAAAATATTTTTCTTGAATTTCGAAATATTTACTTTCATTCCAAAAAATTGTTTTCAATCAGCCAAAAAAGAAATAAAACACGCGCAAATGGAAAATAGCCTATTTTTTTCAAGATTTAAAAAAACAAATTTTGAAAAAAATATTTTCAATTTTCCAAATGCAGCAAAAAAAGGTACATAGTAAAATATAGAATGTAAAATTTTTAACTGAAAAAATATTCCCTTTAAATAATCGAATATTTAAATTAAATTTTCGCTTATTTAAATCAAAAAATTTTTTACAATTATTGAAAAATTACACCCAAGTCAAAAATATATTCGTCATTTATGAAAGCAAATACAGTTTTCATTCACTCAAAAAATTTCTCAATTTCTCTTTTTTCTCATACACGCAACAATATTTGAATTCAATAAAAATAATGACGAAAAAATATCAATGAAAATATTTTTTTTACCAATATTACCAATTTTTTTTACCAAAAGCTTCTTTTTCTCTCATCATTGAAGTTGCCTCTCTCTCCCTTCAGTCGTTGTTGTCTCCATAAATTCAGCGCTTGGAAAAAATTAATTCGTTGAAAAAGTCAACGAATCAAAATTTAAAACTCCATGCAGCCGACACTCAGGAAAAACACGGGAAAAAAAAATCTCGTATTCCAAAAAAAGTCGAAATTCGAGAAAAAAAAAAGAAAAACGAAAAGGGAAAAATCGAGGGGAAATTAAGAAACATACAAAAGGCATGCTTCTCAATTTTTTTTTCACGTTGGCGTTGTCATCAAAAATCGAATTCGTTCTTTAATTATTCGCAATCGAGAAATCGCTCGATCGCAAATAGAACATCGCGTTTTCATCTTGCAAAAAAATCTTCCTTCAATAAATCCAAATATGGTTTACCTAGACACTTGGAAAATAGAAAAAAAAAAAAAAAAGAAAAAGAGAAAGAAAGACAAGAAAATAATGGTATTCCACATCGATTCAATTTGAATACGATAAAGTACAATACCACATAAAATACAATCAACAATGTATATATAAAATGTGTGTGTATGAAACACTGTCAGTTATATTTTTCCCAAAAATAAAAATAGCGGTGTTATTTTTAAAAAAAATTTTTTTTGAAAATAACATCGACTTTTTTTTTTATTTCTTCGCCATATAACAGACAATAAAGAAATGTAATATGAAAATGAAGAGAACAGCATCATAATATAGTATAATAATATACAATACGGGGTTTTGTAGAAAAAAAAGGTACATATATACGGAATTCCTTTCATATAATATAAATAAGTAGATATGTAAATCGGGTTAATTATCTGATGTATATGCGTTACGAACAAAGAAGCGAGTTATGTACACGTGGTTAGTAAAAAAAAAAATCATTTTTAGCACGCGCTCGTTCTTAAGTCACAGAGAGAGAACCTATTTTTTAGAGAAAAATAGAAATTTTCATATTACCGCCACCAAAAAAATTGTTTTTTCATAAATTGTGTCTTTAGAAACGAGCGCGCCATTTTTCTTGTGAGTTAAGTGTAAATACACTACCGAAGGAAGCATGACATGCAAGACGAATTACGCAGAAAACGCACAACGGTAAAATGGGTTAAATATTGTGTCTACAAATAGAAAATTTAAAAAAGAAATAAAACAACGCACAGACCACAGTTTTGATCAAGGAGAAAGAATCGTTAAGAGAAACGAATCATTCTCGTGCAAAGAGAGAGAGAAAAAAAAAATTTACAAAACCTTCTCTGCGTTATCAATTTTTCCTTTTAAAAGTTCTCATTTCTAGACACAAAATTTCCAAGAGTATCCTCCTTTTTTTCAACTACGTGTGTAAAAAAAAAAATACTACCAAAAAAAAAAAAAAAAAAAAACACAAAACATGACTACGAGGGGTGCCTTCTGTTTTTTTTTGTTACTCAATTTTTTGAGGATTTAAAAGGGACTTTTTTTTAAAAATCAGGCCCGCGGCAAAAAAGGATTTTTTAAAGTGATTGTCCTAAAAGGAAAGTTCTTTGAAAATATTCCCCCTCTCCTTTTGTGACAATATTTTAAAAACCCTCTTTTACCGCCCCTGTTATTCACAAATAACACATGTAATAATCTGAGCTTTTCTACGCACTGCAGATAACGTGGCGCAACATCGGCGCTAAGAATGAAAGAAAAAAATAAACGATTTTTTTTTTGTTTAATGTGAAAAAAAAAAATGAATTTTTCATACTTGATTCTGACTCGGAACAATTATTTTTGGGCACCGTGTATTATAAAAAAGCATAAATAAAGAAAAATTTAGTCCTCTATTAACCGAAACCGTTAAAAATTTAAAATTATTCAAGGTAACAAGTCTCTGACGGTGAAATAAACGACCTCCGCCATCAATGCAAACACCTTCTTTGTGCTTTTTCAATTATTTTTTTTAAAATTTACACCGTCAAAACTTATTTCGAAACGAAATCATTTTTTCGAAAAAACAAATTAGCTAACTTTTTTCGAGAAAAAAAATTACTAGCATTTTTAGTGGATAATTTTTTTTTAGAGAAATTTACTATTTTTTTTGTAAGAGAATAAAATTTTAGTTCCGCACTGAAGTTCCACGCTGGCATTGACAGAGAGGTCGCTCCTCTCTCTCCGTTATTACCTGCTCTTCCCACGTTGGATCACCGCGCGCTTGGCGACCATTCTAAAAGGACCTAAATTTTATTTCGCATCGCGGATTTTTCCGAAACGAAAAAAAATAATAAAAGGAGGGCGTCGGGGAAAAAAAAAACGCGAATTTTATTTGCCAATATATTCTGTCTCTCTCTTTCCTGCAGCATCTGCCAACAACAGCTGCAGTTGTTTTGCAGATGCGGCTCTCAAAGGGGGAAAAGAGAGCAGATGTGCCGTGAATTCAGCCAGACGGGCAACGTTGCCAAGTCTAATATTTCTCTCACGAAGGGGAAAAACCCGATATTCAGCGAAAAAAAAAAAAAATTACCGTTAAATTCCGTTTCCATTTCTTTTTTTCTCCTGAAATAAATCGAATCAGCAGGTGTTTATTTTCCGATTTTTTCTGCCATCGCAAAAACCTCTTTCTTTGTCTTCTCTTTTTCCGCCTTTTTTTTCTGTCCCTTAATAAAAAAAAACCATAGAGAACGGATGTTTCTCTTTCTCTCTCTCTTCGTAACCGCCATTTTGTAAAAGCTTCGCCGCGAATACAAGGTCAACGGGTTTTCGTGGGAACAAAGATTCATATAAATCAACTCGGAATATATTTCTCTCGAATTCGCAATTTCTAATATAACAAAATCTTTTTTTGTAAATAATTTTCGTGTAATTCTGAAAAGTGTAGAAAATTTCCAGGACAGAGAGAGATGGTAAAAGAGAAAAGAAAGAAAATTACTGGTTTTGCGGAATAAAAAACTTTTTTTTCTGTGATATCATATTTTTCTTAGTTTCAAATTTCCCGTAGCAACGCAATCTTGATTTTTTAAAGTGTGTGAGTGTATCTCTGTAATATTTATATATATATATGTATAAAGTGTAATCTGACCTTTGACTAATCCGTTCTCACACACATTCGCACACAAAAAAGAAAAAGAATAATTGGCAAAATTCCTAACAGTCGCTAAAAATAAAATTTCCAACGACATTTCAACTAATCTGAAAATATGGAGAGGATTTTTTCCTTTAAAGAGAGGTCCTCAAAAAAAAAAATTTTGAGAAATAAAAAAAAAAAATCGTCAACGTTTTGTCAACATTTTTTTTTCTCGCGCATCTCGTTTCTCTCCCTCTGCATTGGCCAAAGAGAGAAAAAAAAATCTGCTTTTTTGCAAAAAAGCAGACCAATGAAAATAACTTTTGAGAATTTCCATTTCCTTTTTTCAAATTGGTGGAGACTGCTTCTTGATATGGTCTCAATTTTTATTTTCAGAGGAGAGAGAGGTCGAGACGTCGCGTTGCGAGGGTGATAAAAAAAAAAGTTATTCAATTTTAGAGGACACTATAAACGTAAAAAAAAAAAAAAAATTTTTTCCAAAAAAAATTGAAACCTCGCATCGCGACTTGAATTTGAAAAAAAAAACCAAGAAACAATTATACAAGAAACCATAAACATTTTTTCCAATGAAAAAAAAGCTACGTGCCCTAGCCAGAAAGAAGCTCTTTCAGAGACAGTGCTACTCTTGAACATACCGAAATTCAAGTTGAACCACGTTATCCAGCAGCGAAAAAAACCCTGTCCCGCCTGCGCAATGGGCACTTTATTCCGGCGCATCTTTTTTTTTTTTTTTTCTTTGATACGCTACGGAAAAATTCCAAATAGTACTTTTTTTTCGAATAAGCGTTAAAAGAAAATTGTTTCACGAGAATTTTTAAATTAACTTTCAAAATCGAGTAAAATTAAACTTATTTCAAAAAAAGTACATTTGCGTTTTTTTAATATGAAATTAAGACTAGTGACTGACAAAAAAAAAATAAATTCTTTTTGCTCAGTCAATGTCAAAAAAAATGATTGAATCGAAGACTTCTTTCGAGAGAAAAAAAAGTCATCGAAACTATCGACTTTTTTTTTTTTTTTTTTTTTTTTTCTAATGATCGAAAGTCGATCTTAGTAATTGATTGTAATTGTGCCAATTAAGAGTGCCTATTGTTACGGGGGTCAGTGGTAATTGAGAACTGGCGATGATGAACGTACCTTGGGAGTCCCTTTGCGCTTGGACGGCTTCATGGGCTGCAAGAAAGACTTCATCTTGCGTTCCAGGTCCACCAGCCACTGAGCCGACTCCACCCGCATTACTCCTATCACCCGTTACGTGCCACGCCGCTAAGCCTATTCAAAACGCGACCAAAAAAAAAGCGGGGAAAAAAAACCAACCATGCTTCTATTAGTAAAAATTTCCAAAAATTCAATTTTAAAAAATGAAATTTATTTCAAAAAAATTAATTAAAAAATGAAATTTCAAAAAAAAATTAATCAAACAATGCAATTACAAAATTAAAAAAAAAAATTATTTAATTACAATTGAAAAAGAAAGTGTCAATATTATTTTGTGACAAAAATTTTTCTCATACTGTACGTGATGTTTTTTGACGATTAAAAAAAATCTTATTTTGTACAACTAAATTAATTTTTAAATTTAAAAATGTACAAAATAAAATTTTAATAATTGTGCAATTAACAACGTCTGTACAATTTGTTACAAAAAAATTTTCTGTACAAAAAACTAATATGGACATGAAAATTTATTTTTTTGCACTTGATTTGAAAAAATAAAATTCGCAAAGTTTGAACGTAGAATAAATATTTGCCAAATACAGACACATGAGGGACACATGAATCAGTAAAAAGCTCCACGTCAATCTTAACGTTTTTTATCTTTCGAAAAAAAATGCAAATAAATTTTTTTCGAAAAAAAATTGAATTTTGATCCGAATGTTATTTTCATTTAAACTAATTGAATTTTAATGTTTAATAAATTAATCCTCAATGAATTAAATTTCAATTAATATTGAACGAATTTTCAATTTAAAAAAAAAGAAAAAACAGGCGCAGAGTTAGGTAATAAAAAACGAGCGTTGGAAAATAAATCTATCAAGAATTTAAGATGGAAACACATACGTTTATTACGTAAGGCATCCAAGTCTCAAGTAATAGACACTAACACATCTTTACAAATCACAAGTCTTAAATAATTTTTAAAATACAATCTAACGACGTTTATACAAGGAAAAATATTCCACAATACTGTTCTTCTTTTTCTCAAACTCAGTCTTTCATAAAACAACAAGTCAATAAAACCACTATTTTCAAACAATATTTTGCTTCAAAAAAAAAAAATAAAATTTTCAAAACCGAAAAATAAATTTTTATTAGAAAAAACAAAAAATCGAATTTTTAAACATTTATAATTATTCTTAAATATAATTATTTTTTTTATATAATTTAAATATTCAATTAAAATTAATTTACAAAAAAAATAAATAATTTTAATTGAATATTTAAATTATGATTGTCTATGTCGAAATGTAGGGGCGGCGTTTGGTTGAATCCATCGCCTTCTCACAACATTCAATTTTTTCAAATAAAATTGTAGAGTTGAACGATTAATTCCATACATTTCGGATGCTTGAGTTGTACTCACACCCTGATGTAATATCGCCTCCAGCGACATTTTAACCGAATCTAAACTATATTTTCGACCCTGTTTACTTGCCAATGATTTAAGTAACGCGCCTACGTCAACATCTTGAGTCATTCGTCTCGTATTTGGCCTTTTTTTACAATCGAGGAAATGAGTTGCCCAAAGGGCACCACCACCCGACCCCCCACCTGTAACGAGGAAACCCAAACTAGTGCCACCGTCCAAAATTAGTTTAACGTCCCAAAAAAATAATATATAAAACACATCACGATCCTATTATTTTTTTTTTCTTTTTGTAATTTCTAATTTAATTCTAAAAATATATATTTTTTTTAATTTTTCCTTTGATAAATAAATTTTAATTATTTTAAAGTCTTGTTGAGAAATGAAGACTGAATTTTGTGTACTTAAAACTGCGTCCTGTTTTTTAATATACGGAAATAAAAATGTTTTTTTTTTTTTTTTCTAGAAAAAGAAAATTGGAGGAATAAACTCACCAGGATGTTGGTTAGGGTCGTGTGAACTTGGACCAGCCCTATTACTATCTTCCATTTCGTTAAGGTCATTCATATCGTCATCTAACGTTAAGTCTTCCACACTCTCCTCCGGGTCGTCCAAATATTCGGACTTTGGTTGTATCATGTCTTCGGTAGGTTCAGGTTTTTCGACAGGTAGCTGCAAAAATAATAACAAAAACGAAAAATTAAATTAAAATTTCTTTTTAAATTTTACATAAATTATTCTATTTAACTTTATGTAAAAATTCCATTCATTCTAATTTACAAATTCAATTTTTTATTTTTTAATGAAATTTTTAATTTTACTTAAAAAAATATAAATTTATTTCAAAAAAATATTTAATTTTATAATAATTATAAAATGTTTTTAATTTTGTATGGAAAATCTATTTTTTTCAAAAAAAATATTTGACTTTACAATTTTTTACCGTAAATATATTTAATTTTATAATTTGTAATTCATTTTTTTTTCTTATCTTTTTAAAAATAAAATTTTATATGAAAAATCTAATTTTTAAGAAAATATTTAATTTTTATAATTATTTTTTTTCCCCCTTTACCTATTATAATTTAGTACAGGCAAAAAAAATCTTTATCTAGAACAGCAATATGTTTCACTAAAACAATGAAAGCTTTTGCTATTCTAGAGAAATATATCTTTGCGTGTACATTTCTACAAAAAGGCGTTTCTATTTTTCTTTTTAAGCCCATTTACACTATAGTCTTATTAATTTTATATGAAAAATATCGATCTTTTTTTGTTAATGAAATATTTTTTTTTAAAAAAGAAAAAAAATTCTAATTTTTCGGAAAAATATTCAATTTTGAGTCAAAAAAAAATTTTATTTTACAGAAAATATTTAATTTCATATAAAAAAAATTCTATTTTTATTTTCTGTAATATTTGATTTTCTGCAAAAATTCTAATTTTCCAGGAAAATATTTAATTTTATAATTATAAAAACAGTTTTTTTTTGTATATTTTCCAATTTAAATGGAAACCAAATTTTTATTTTTCCTAATAAAATACGTAATTTGCTGTAAAAATTCGAATTTTCCAATTTAAATGGAAACAAAATTTTTATTTTTCCTAATAAAATACGTAATTTGTTATAAAAATTCGAATTTTCCAAAAGAAAATTATAAAAAATCATCTATTTTTTTAATTTTCATTTTTTCTTTTTTTTTTGCAATAAAATAACTCAATTTTCTATAAAAATACAAATTTTTCATTAAAATCTCAAAAAATTTTCTAATAAAAAAGAAAAAAATTATCTCGTATCGTTTCCGATCTGCAAGTTTAAAAAAAAACTCATCTCACAGGAGGATAGAATACGAAGTATGATATACCAACGAAGCGAAAGAAGAGAGCCAAAAAAAAGCTAACCCCTTTTAGAACGCTGGCAAACATATTTCATATAAAAAAATTTAATTTCGCAAAAAAAGAGAAATCAATGCCAACCTGAAGCATTTCGTCGGCGGGTTTCGTCAACTGTTGCATGAGCGCCGACCTGCCAAGCGAATCAGCAGGATCGGCATGGGACTTCTCATCAGCAACAGGAGCAACTCCCAAAGCCGGAATGGCTTGTTGAGTCATATCACTAGAGTTAGATTCATGATTTTCTATAGAATTATCCTCGCCGACGCTTCTTCTTCTAAGTCTTTTTCTCTTTCGGGAGACTGGACTTTGTGAACCTTCCCTATAAATAGAAAAAGAGGAAAAAATAGTTTTAAAAAATTTGTTAAAAATACAAAATTTACCATATTTTATGTAAAAATAATTGTTTTTTCGTTTCTTACCTGGAGGAGATACCTTTGGGTATAGAGGGGCTGGCGGAGTCTTCGGGTAAATCACCAACAGAGCTCTGTGCCAAACTCTGCCTAGGAACTTTGCTGTTCTTTTCTATTGTGAGACCGGAAGACGCATGTGGAATGTCTAACGACGGAGCTGTCGATTGTGAGCTGACTTTACTTTGCCTGGTGTCTGGTTTCGGACAACCATTGCCACCAGTTCTACTTTCCGAGAGGCCTTTTATTTGTAAAGACTCTGCGGCCTTTAGGAGGGCTGCCAATTGGTCTTGGGAGATATTCACTTCTCCCCTGTACATGTAGTCCATCATGGCTTTTAATTCCTTAAACTTAACATCTTTGAGTATAAACACTGGGTGCTTATCGTAATGTTCGCTGAGGAGGCCCTGTAAAAAAAAAAAAAATTCATATTTCAAAATATATAAAAATTATTTTCCTAATATAGAAAAAATATTTTAAATTTCTATATTTAAAAAAAGAAAAAGGTATGGAAAAATTTTCACCACCCCTTTGACCCCCTGATGAGTTTAAATAAGAACAAATGATTCCTTCAATGAATAGAGAGAATTATAGCGGTGGTTTCCCCCCCCCCCCGTTATATAGTCTGGTAGAATCCCAGGGCAAGTGCCCTGGAAATCGGCCATCTTGCTTTCCCTGTATTGATCAGGAGAAACCAAGAGGGGATTCAGGCTATACTTCTGCCCCCCCCCCTACTACAGTTTGCGCAAGCGACGGCACAAACCATAAACCCATACCTGCCCCCGCCCAAGCGGCGAACAAGATGAACGGCCATCTTGTTTCTACTTTAGTCTCCAGACTCTAGTATTGATTAAATTTCCAAAAGTCTGAAAAAGAAACAATTCTTTTGCCAAAAAAAAAAACTACTTTTTTTGCAAATTTCCCCCAAAAAAATAGCAAAAAAGAGCATGAAAATTTTTTTCCATGACCTTTTTTCAAATTCCTGTAAGAAAAAATAGAATTAGAAAGAAAATTTTAATTTTGCAAAAAACTCACCTCAAAGTATGGACTGCATGCGGAGAGGACCACTTTGTGGGCCTTTAGGTACTTCCCCTCCGCTGCTAATGTGCAATCCACTAATGTACCGGATTCTAGTAACGTGTCAAAGTTTTGTATTAATGTCGTTTGGTGGTTGTTCCACCTTAGGCAGAACTGTTGATCGTCCTCCATTCTGCTTAATTCTCGTTATCTTGTCAGACTATCCAGGTTGAAAGTAGAAACCAATACGGAAACGAGAAAAAAAAATCAATTCAAAAATTCGTTATGCTACCTTTTTCGTTTTAATAATTGAAACATAATTGATAAACAATTTTGTGAAACTTTTTTTCGTAATTAAAAATCGCGTTTTTTTGTCGACTACGCGTTTAATCAAGTCTTGTGTGTGAGAACCCGGACCCGCAAGCTCTGCAACCAAACGTGGAAGCTTCCAAAATGGCTGTGATGCAAGCGCGTCGGTCGGGGACGACGAGCCTTTCCCTTTGTGCGTATTCCCCTAACGGTATTAAATGTTGGGAGAAGGAAAAATGGTGGGGATGATGCGGGAGGACGCGCTTCTATAGCGCATGCGATTCCAGCGAGGCTGCGCAACAAGAAAGCGCAATCGTGGTTTTTTCTTTTTTTTTTTTTAATTCTTTCTTTGCTTTTTTGTTGCTGCGACCCCAACTCCCCAGGACCGAATCAACCATTGACCTCGCCCGGGTATCCGGCTCAATTGGATTTTTCATCTCTCGGCTTTTTTTCCTCGTGTGGCGAGTCTTTCTTTTTTTTTTATTAAACGTTTGAAAATCAATATTTGCTTGAAATGAGGTTTGGCAAAAAAAAAAAATTGTAAAAATCTTTTTTAAATTATAAATTTCAGGCGAATTGAAAAATTTTAAAAATATTTGCAAAAAAAAAAAAATTTTAGAAATAATTCTTTTGAAAAATCAAATTTTAGATTTGTTTAAAAAAAATGAAATTTAGAAATAATTCTTTTTAATAAAAAACAAAATTCTAGAAATTATAGAAAAAATGAAAATTAGAAATAATTGTTAAAAGAAAATTTAATAATTGTTAAAAGAAAAATTTAGCAAAATTCCTTTTTTAAAAATTAAGAATTTAGAAATAATTGTTCAAAAAAAATTAAATTCAGCAATATTCCTTTTTATTAAAAATATTGATTTTGGGAATAATTGTTTAAAAAAGCAAAATTGATCAATATTTCTTTATAAAAATTGCAATTTTCAAAAATAATTTCCTTTCATAATTAAATTTGCAAAATAATTATTTTAAAAAAATAATTAAATTTGCAAAATAATTATTTTAAAAAAATAATTAAATTTGCAAAACAATTATTTGAAAAAATAATTAAATTTGCAAAAAAAATATTTGAAAAAATAATTAAATTTGCAAAACAATTATTTGTAAATAACCGCGGGAGGATTGTGATAAATAAATAAAATTGCAAAAAGTAATTTCAATTAAAATTCGAAGTTGATTTTTAAAAAATTTAATAAATAAACAATTTATTAAAATAAATTATTCAATTATTAAGAATATCAAAATTTATACAATTGAATTTTTAGGTGGCAAATAAAATTTTATTTCTCTGTCAATTTAAAAAAAAATAAAAAAGAAAGTAAAAAATTAGAATTTGAAAAATAATTAGAATCAGCATTAAATAAAAATTAATTCATTATTATTAAACTGTGCTTCGATTATTGAACTTTATTGAAATTGCGTACAAAGAAAATCAATAAAACTGCGCATGCAGCAATGTGCAGTTGCTGTTTCATCGATAAACCATGAAACGAGGGACTCAATTTTCACAAAGTTGAGAAAACATTCAGTTTAATAAAAATACAAAATTAAATATTATTTAATTATAAATTGGTGCTTTTATAAATAAAATATTTACTATTGGCAAAAAATTTTCATATTTAGTCAAATTTACAAATATGGAAAAATTATACTAAAAAGATAAAAACAAAATAAAATTTCGAAAGTAAAAAAATATTACGAAAAAAAAAATATCAAATCCTAATAAATTTGTTTAATTAGTTTAAAAACGAATTATTCCCATAAATGAATTATTAAAAATTTTGATATTAATCGGGATACATAAATTGTAAATATATTAAAAAATGAAAATATCAAAACAATTTCAGTAATAAATATTAAAAGAAGAAACGTATAAAAACGATTAGCCTACATAAAAAAAAAAAAAATGACGAAATAAAGGGAAATATATTCTCGGAAGACTCCCGTTATTGATCCAAGAAGTACCATGGAAACCATATTCCACTTCCATTTCAAAATGGAAGCCTTCCACGCAGACTGGAAAAATCAATTTGGTACTTCACCCAACATGCGCGAAACACCGGCATCGATTTACCCAGATAAAAAAAAAAAATATCGCGCATGTGTGCAATAATGATTGTCAAATGTACACAGGATTCGCAACATTGCATAATCTATTTATAATCAGTCAGGCCACTTACATCATTCTTTATAACTATGCAATGCATATGTATAAGAAAAATAAAAACAAACAAGACAAATAAATGGTTTTTCCAACTTTTTAAAGAATACCGTAAATTTAACCGTAGAAACATCTAGACCAAGTGAAATTTCAATATGGCCGTCAAACAAGTTACTTGGGAACAAAATGGCCTGATGACGAGTCACTTGGAAAATGCCATTAAAGGAAATTATGAAAAATTAGGGAAAAAAAAAAAAAAAGCGAAAAAATAATAAAAAGACATTTAAATGTAAAACCGAATTTGTAATAAAAATAGTGGGGGGGGAAATAAACACGTTTTAACTTGAATAGCACGATACGCCCATCGATTTTTTTTCCTTCTCTTAATTATCACGAAATAATTGCAAATTTTATATTTGTTATCACAATTTAAAAATAATAGTGACGTGAAAGTTCACTTACCCCACTTTAGATTAAAAAGAAGTCTAATATCACAGTTTAAAATGGGTGAAAATCGCGAAGCTCAGAGAGCGTCGGTACACGACGAACGCTTCCCTTTTCAATAATGGCGTAGCGCAGGCAGCCTTCCACTTCAATGCAGGCTTCCCGACAGGATAAAAAAGAAAACCCCACTGACATGCGCACTAGGGAAAAGGAGAGGCGAATCGACCACAATTGTGAGAAAATAAAAAAAAAAAAAAAGAAAAGGGAACAGCCCAACCCGGTTTTTAATCCTGTAATTATCAGAAAAAATTTACCTTTTTTTTTTCTAAAAAGTAAAAAAAAAAATGTCGATTCACGATTAATGAAAATCGATTTTATAATGCAACACTAAAAAAGAAAAAATCGAAAAAAATCACGAAACGAATTAATTTGAAATTTAATTTAAAGAGTTCACAAAAATTAAAAAAAGAAAACCATTTGAAAATAATAGGCCGACGACCGCGAGGCAGGAAAAGCTAAATCGATAATGGCTGACTGGCGTTGCTTTGTAGGACAAAATGGCGAGTGTAATCACTTTTAAAAAGCTTCGACGAACACGGAATATATTATTTTTCTTCGAAGCTTTTTAATATCACACAAAAAAAAACCCTCTCCAGCTGAAATTAAACACGAAAATAAAAAAAAAAAATCAAACGCGCGATTAAATTGAGGAAAAAAAAATTGTCAAGAGAAATGACGCCATGACCTGAATTCACCGAAGTCGAAAAAAGTTACACAAAATTGTCACGAAAAAAAATGCACAAATATAAGAAAAAAAAAAAAATTGGTTAAAGAAAGATAAACTTACTTTGACGCAGTCTTCTTATTATCACAGTAGGACGAATCCTTGGGGGAAGAACTGCGCATCCGGACTCTCAGCGCACACTATATCCTCTCTTGTCGAGTTCTTTTTACACAATGGCCACGATGGGAGACACGCTATAACGATCTTTACGGGTCCTACATCCCTTCGAGCAAGGAACACGGAAACGAACATTGGTTTGGCGGGGTGACGCGGCGCATAAACCAATTTTTGCTCAACTGCGCAGAAAAGATGTACAATGTGGGGGGGAAAAAAGAGGGGAATTAACCGGGGGGACGACAGCAGGCAGAGAAACCGCAGGAACGAATCTTTTTTGTTAAGCACCCGGGAATTGATTTATCTTGGTAAAAGAATGTTGCAGATTTTCAACCATTTTTAAAAGAAAAATTTCAACAAAATTAATATCAAAAGTGAAATATATGGGTAAAATATGTTTTATTATTTATATAGAAAAATTTTTTAATTTAATATTCAAAGTCAAATAGAAATAAAATATTTATTAAAAAGAATTATATTTTTGTAAAATATAATTTTTGTTTATTTAAACTTTGCAAATTTTATAATGAGAAAATGTTATTGTAATTATTTTTTATGTATTAAAAGAGGTTTTTTTTTTTTTGTTTATTTTGGTAAATTTTGTCAAATATTTTATTATATTTGATTGAATTTATGCGAAATTGTAATTAATTTTCATGATGATAAATTTGTAAAAATGCTTTAGAAAAAAAAAAAAACAAAGATATTTTGTGAAGAAAGAAAAAGAAAGGTGAAATTTACGATTCTAACCTCTCTTGACAATACTTGTTTCCATTTCGCGTCGTTGTGCAGTTATTGATTAGCACCGGTTTTATTTACCGGCTCACTTTTATTCAGATTTTACATAATTATGTTTTGAGCTTCTAAAAATTACTTTTATGATAATTGAATAATTTTTATATTAAATTAATCATTTATTTTTACTTCTGAGAGAGGAATTTAGATAAAAATTTTGCAAATTTTAAAATTTAGTTTTATTTCAGAAATTATTTTCAGTCTAATGGGAAAATCAATAAAATTATATAAGTAACTATGATGGGGTCAAAGAATTTTATTCTATTTTCATATTTTAGGATCAAATTTTCTTTCCTATGATTATTTAATTATAATTAAATTTTTTTTTTGTATTTTTTACAATGTTTTTGATAATTTTTGTTTAAAATTATAAATTGAAAAAAATCACAATAAATTAAATTTATTCTATTTTATTTATTATATTGTGATTAAAAGACTATTAATTTTTTTTTTTTACTAATATTTGGAAATTTATTATTTAATTAAAAATTTAATGAAACTATCAATATATTTCAGAGAAAAGAACAAAATTTGTCTGATTCTATACAATTTGAGAAAAGGATTAAATTTTGTTCTTCAAAGCAATCAGCAGCAGACATAATAAATAATCGGTGAGTTTTTAACATTTTTACAAACATTTTCTGTAATTTATAGAAAAAATTATTTTTTTTTTAATATAAAATTTTATTATAGAAAATATTAAAATAATTTACATCGGTAGGTAGTGCAGAATTCTGTTAATATTATACGGAATTTATTATTCTATTTGTATATTTTCAATATTAATTTCAATATTTTTCAAAAAATATATATTTTTTTTTTTGTAAATGTGTTTTTGAGAATAGAAACAAATTTGAAATATAGAACAAAATTGACTTAAGTTTTTTTAAAAAGCTTTTTCAACTTTTCAAAACAAAACTTTTTATTAAATAAAAAAATATTTATTTATGTTTATTAAAAAAATATATTTTATTTTAAAATATAATATTCGAGAAAAAATAATTAAAATTAATTTATATATATATATATATATATATATATATACAAAGAGAAAGATCGAATATTGTATTTTCATTTTATGCACAAAATTATTTTTATTTGCATAGTTTAAATATTTTATGTAAAAATATAAATTAAACTAATTAGTTAAAAATATAAATTAAATTAATTAGTTAAAAATATGAATTAAATTAATTAGTCAGTTGAAAATATAAATTTAATTAATTAATCAGTTAATTAATTGTGTATTTTTGTTTATATTTATAAATTTTTGTAGCTCAAGAGGAGATGGCAAAAATATTTTATATCATCAGTTGACAAAGTAAGCTGTGGAAAATGTGAGTTCTACTTTATTGTAATTGTATATATATATATATGTAAATCAACAAATCATAAGGTACGATTTTTCCATTATATATTTTTCAGTAACATCTTTTACTAATTTTAATTTAATTTCCAAATTGATAGAATTAATAAATTTACATTCTATTTTTGTTTATTAATTTTTGAGTAATTTTACTAGTCAATTGAATATAATATAGACGTATAAATTTAATATTTTTACGATCATTTTTATTATCAGAAAAATTTTGTTTTAATATTTATTGATAAATAAATTCAATTCTTCATTGAAACAAAAATTATAATTATATTATTAAATAGATTACAAGAATATATTTTTTTCGTCAAATATTTTTTATTTTTATATTATATTAACAAAATTCCTACAGAATTTGATAATTATGAAAAATTGAAATTTATTTGTCTAAATTTTTACAATTTTTAAAAAAATTAAATACCTTTTTTTAATAAAAACACATTTTTAAGATAATTTTTTGGAAAACAATGATGCCTTACTAAAGAGGTTATGTTTATTTTCTCCAAATAAGATATTTAAAAAATGTATTTTTAATATTTTTCTCAATTTGTATTTTTTTGGTAACTAATTAATTTTCTTTTTTTTTAAATATTTTTAGTCTTATTTTTTTAATAAATAATTATTTTTATAATTGACATTATTTACAAGCATATATTTTCCCTTTTTTTAATATTTAACCAATCGTGAAAATTGTATCAAAAGATTTTTTAAAATTGCCAAAAATTCGTGTATAATATTTAAAAGTTATTTATGTTTCAGAAAAATTATTTGATTATCCTGATGTTAAAGAATTATTTTTCTGTTGTAGAAATTTCTTTATTTTTCCAACTTTTACAATTTGGAATTTTTAAATGATTTTAAATAACATTAATTGTATTCAGAAAATAAAATTTACTAAAATAAATCTCAGAAATTAAATTTGGTTTCTAAAAAAATCGTTTAAAAGTATACTTTTTTTTAAATATCATTAAAAAATGAACATAACCTTATTTAGATGTAATTTGTTCAAAGAATTTTTTCAACTATTAAAAAAAAAACAGTAAAATTTTTTCTTATTTCTTATAACTTTTGTCATTATAAAAAAGTAGATCTTGAAAATTAGACTTTAAATTTTTTTCGAATTTTCTGCAAAACCTGCGAAAATCTTGAAAATGGTCTGAAATTTTAAATAACAGATTTTTATTTGAATATTCGATATAATCATTTTGACGAACATTATTTAATTTGAATATGTTTTAATTATTAATTTTATTCATTCTACGGGAACAGAAACAAAATTTGTTTTTTAGACAAATTACTTAAAATTAAATACCAAAAATCTAAATCTAACGAATATTTAATTACAGAATTCATTTTTATTTTACAATAATTTATTTATTTTACGATATTAACGATAATATAAAAATTGAAAAAAATATTATTAAATATATTTTTTACCAATTTGACTAAAATATGCCTTAGTGATAGCGTTGAATTTAATTTATTTATAGAATATTTTAATAACATCTGAAAAAACACAACAAGTCAAGAAATGTGAAATTTATAATAAATCCATTTTCCTAAAAATTTTTGTTTCTTATTCTTTATTTATAGTTTATTAATTTAAATTCAACCCTTAAAGAATTGAATGAGATATTTTTTTAATTATTTTTAATAATTTAACATTTTTTATTTTTCAAATATAAACTTGTGTTAAATTTTAGTTCTAAGTTTTTTTTTTTTTGAAAAAATCAAAATTTGACCAAGATTTGTGAAAACAAATTTTAGAAGTGAATTAAAAAAAAAAAGAATTACAAAAATTGATAGTTATTTTAGATTTTACTATTTAGAGAAGATCAAAAATATTTCCAATAATATTTTTCTAAAATATTAATTTTTTATCTAATACAAATTTTTTATCAGCATTATTATTTATAATTATTATTGTATTATAATATATAATATACTATATTAAAATTATATTTGATTTTAAATAATAAAAAATGTTTCTGTTTCAGGCACATTGTTAAATAGGACATAGTATTTGATATTTTTTTTATTAAAAAAAAATCGTTTTTTTATTTTTCAAAAGAAGTTTTTGTTTTTAATATCTTGGGTCAAATTTTGATTTTTTTGTAAACCATTTTTTAGGCATAGATTTTTAATTTAGAAAACGTTGAAATTTTTTTTTTTTTTTTTTTTAATACAAGAGAATACCATAAAAGATGTTTAATTTTCATTTCTCAAATTTTTCATAATCGCATAATAAGTAAATTAACATATAGTTATAATTAACACAATATGTTTATGTTATGTTTATCGTCTATTTTTTTTAAACTGGATAAATATATTTTATATAGAAAAATAGACGACTATTAATTTTATATTTTTAATTTATATTGTCCGCAAAAAGTTTTTTTTATATGGAAACCAAATCCTCAAAAATAAGCGTGCAATAAATATAAAAAATCTATTTTACAAATACAACCAACAAAAAAGGTTAATTAAAAATTTATAAAAAAATTATTTATTTATTTTATTATTATAAATTTCTTATTTATTTATTATTATTTATAAAAATGCAAACAAAAAAATGCAAAAAATGAGTCAAATTTTCCAATTATGTATGTGAAAAAAGAAAAAATTTCCAAAACATAATTTTCCAAATGATTTAATATACTTTGAAAAAAGGAATATATTTTATTGTTTTTAGTAAAACGATTGTAGTATAATAATACAGTCGTGAAAATTAGTTTATTTTTCAGCTAAATCAAAAAGTGACATTGTGCACATTATTGAACGAAATTAACAAAAAAAAATCGTAAATCGAATTATCAATCTTATTTTTTTAAAAATGTGATAAAATTGTTTATGCATTAATCGCGAAATATAGTGTGTTGAGGATATTAAAATGAATTTATTCAAATAAATTCAATTCAAAATAAAATGTAAGTATGTTTTTATTTTTTATTAAAGTCTTTGAATATAATTCAATATTTTGTCATTTTTTTTAGCTTTCTCCACAGAATTTCAGGTTTCAATTGGATACTAAAAATTTCAATTGAGGAATTGATATTTTATCCAACTAAATATTTGTTAAGAAGAATTTTGGAGGAAGTACATGAATAGAAAAATTGGAAAAATCTGAAAATCCTGGAAAGTCAGAGAATTTTATAAAGAAAAAATTTTGTAAAACAACAAATTTTGAATACTTTGCTAAATTGTTGACAACAAATTCCTAAAATATGAAATAACTCAAAAAAAATTTTAGAAAATATCTTTATTGCAAATTAATAAATTTTAATTTTCAACGTGATTTTTCTTGTACTTTTTAATATCAAAAAAAATTGTAAACCTCTTTATTTTCAAAATCAACTTTTATTTTACTATATTTTCAACAAACGTTGTTCAAAAAAAGTAATATAGGTCAAAATTTAAAATATTTAAAATATTTTTTTGTCACAAAAATGTAGTAGGAAATAAATTCAAAATTTTCATCTTGAATAGTTTATTTTTATTATTTATTTCTAAAATGTTAATAAAAAAAACAGTATTCTTTATGTCTTATGGAAAAAATTTTTTGCTTTATGTTTCAAATACAGTTTTCAATTTAATTTTTAATTTAACTATTAAGAAAAAAATATACTACAAAAAATAGAAAATAAATTAATTTTTTTTAAATTTTTATCTTAAATAATATTTTATATTATTTATACATAAAATTTTAATAAAAAAGTAATCTTTATGTCTTACGAAAAATTTAAAATTTGTTTTATTAAATTGCATACAAACTTCGAAATATAAAACTGTTGAGAAAATAGAAATCACACTCGATTAGAAGAAAAAATTATTTAATGTTAATTAGATACTTAATTGAATATGTATCTAATAATTGAATAATTAATATTTATTATTATTTTATTATTTCTAATAAATAATAGAAATATTATTGTTATTGAATTATATACAATATTACAAAATTAGTATTAAATAATATTTTTCTAATTAAATTCTATTTTTTCTTTTTTCAACGGTTTTATTAGAAATGAAACAACCATGTAAAATAATTTTTAAATTTTATATTAGAAAGTGAAGATTATTTTTGATTAATATTTTTTATTTATAAAATATTATGAAAACCTTTCTTAAATAGTAAAAAAAAAATAAATTTTTTTCAAATCAAATTTATTTCCCAGGAATTAGTTTTTGACAAAATTCGAAAAAAAATTTTCTTTATTTAAGAATGCTAAAAAAATTCAATTATTATTAATAATTTTAATCATAAAATTTTTTTTTTTTGTGTAATAATTTCAGAAATTTATTTCAATCGTTCTAGGAGTGAAGAAAAAAGATATTATATTGAAAATTAATTATATTTTTGAAAATTTGAATTGGTCCGTTAGAGAAATTTTTTTTTATATTTAATTTATGTATGAGCAGCTGCCTCACTCTTCGCTCGATTGCACGCCAAAAGTAAGGAAGATTGAAATTCAAAATTTTGATTTTTGAAAAGTACTATCTTGTAGAAAATGAAAAGGCGCATCTTTTTTTCCATTGACATTCTTTGTAAGAAGAATATTTTAACTAATAAATACGAAAAACTGAGAAATCTTGTTTCACAAATTTCATTAAGTTTCAAAAAATAAATCATCGTTTTTTTTTACAATTTTTAATTAATTTTATTGAAACTTGGTGTACACACAGGTATTTGGCTCTAATGAAGACGAAATTATAATGTAAAAATTAAAAAATCATTTATTGTTTTATAATTTTTTAATATAAATTGTTTTGAACACCAAAAAAAAAAAAAAAAAAATTTAAACCTTATTTTATAAATTCAAGTCTTATTTTTCAATTTTAAATTAATTGGTCATTTTTTCATTCTTTTAGTATTTTCATTAGAAAGTAGAAATAAAAAAAATTAAAAAATACCCAAATTGACCAAACTGAAAAATATGAGTTAATTTTCATAAAAAAGGAGTAAAATTTTTTATAATACTACAATAACTTTATTATTTTTTTTAATGACTTAATATTTTAGTACCTATTAATTAAAAAAAAATTTAACTCATTTAATTAGTGACAAAATTTTTTGTTACTATATTCAAACAATATAAACTCTTACCTATTTTTTTCTCTTATCTTTATTCTCTATGAGCTTTTCTTTAAATGTATAACCATGCATGTTTATTATTTTCTTTTTTTATGAAAATTTAGCACAATTTTTTTTTCAACAAGTTTGTATTACATGCGCAAACATATTTTATTTATAAAAAAAAATTCTATAAACAACTAAAAAAAATTTTTTTTTTCATTGCAGATGAATTAACACCGGATTTGCCACGTTTATCAGTTAAAAATGTTATCAATCTAATTGCACCACAAAATGTTAATGATGACAAATTTTCATGTCGTTTTTGTAGTCGAAAATGTGGAACACTTTGTGGAAATACTCGTCATGAAAATAAATGTTCATATAATCCAAGAATTATTGAAACAAGTGAACATTTAAAATGTAAATGTCATGATTGTGGTTGTAGTTTTAAATATTCGTGGGAATTAAAAAATCATAAAAAACATGATTGCGGAGTAACGCACAAATGTAAAACATGTAATAAAATTTATTCAACATTAAAGGGTCTACGATCACATATTCGACAAGGCGCTTGTAAAGATAGTTACTAAGTTATTATAAATATTGACTGAAAATTAATTAGAAATTTTTCGCCAAAATTTATTTATTTTTATAAACATGAAAAAATGTGACAATTTTTATTTTCAATTTTTTGTTTCTTTTTTTTGTTTGAAATTCTTAAAAATTATAATTTATTTTTTTCTTTCAATTTCTATGATTTTTCATTTTTAAAAATCGTTAATTTTCTTTTCATTTTCATAAAATTATTCTTTTTTTGCAATTTCTAAAATTTTCTATTTTTCTTTTGGATTTATTTAACTATTATTTTTAATTTATTAATTAAATTTTTATTAATTTTTTTTTTATTTTAAATTTATTCTTGTACCTACATTTTTTCTAAAATTCTCGTATTTTTTCTCAAATTTCCCTTCTTTTAGGAAATTTAAAAAATTTTCTATTTTCTTTTGAGACGCATAAATATAGTCCTCAGATTGAATTTAAATTAATTTTTTGTAGTTTTTAATTACAAATTAACGACGTTCTATATTTGTAACAGAATTTTAATTTAACTGAATTCTGATTTAATTTTTGTTTCAAAAAAAATTTTCATTTTTAAATCCAAGGAAAATAAATGTTTTTTTCACCCTATGTATTTACTTGTCTTTTACTATTTTATAAGATTTTTAAAAAATATTTTCTTGTAAATATTATTATAAATGAAAAAATGTTTCTATTTGACACTTAACAATTATTTTTCATGTATGTTAATAATTTTAAATACTTATAATATTCAATAAATTCGCAGTAAAACTATTGCAGATTTTTTGCAAAAAATGTTTTTTTTTATATAAAATTTTTTATATGTATAGAAATATTTAGAAATAAAATATGTATTATATATAAAATTTTGAATTCCTTATTTTTCTACTCATTGTAGCTTTATTTTTTATTTTATTTAAAATATTAATAGTTGACATTTATAATAATAATAATAATAATTATTATTATTTATTATAATTTATAATTGTATTAAATATATAGTTTTATTCATAAAATTCTATATTTTATGTTCAATTTCTTCTATTTATTTCCTAAAAATTTTTATTTCTATTTATTTAAAAAAAAAACATTTTTATGTTAAATTTATTTCCATAGGATTCAATTTACTTTATAATTTAATGTCCGTTTTGTTTTAATTATAAAATACATTAATATTATAGGCCTACAAAATTTTGGATTGTGTCAGAGAAAAATTTGAATGAGGAAATATAGTACTTTTAATTAAAATTTGGACTAATGATTAAAAAAATTTTTTGACAATTTTATAGAGTGTCTAATATTTCCAAAAACGGCATTTTTCACGCTTTCAAGTTAGAATATCTCAAAACGCTGACGTGATGGAACAATTTCGTTGTCATTTTTAGATTCAGCGTGACAAAATACATCGAAAATGACTATTCCGGTTTCTGGGTCTAAAATTTGTAAACCTGTGTATTTTATTTTGTTTTTTGTTTATATATTATTTTCCTGTAATGTTATGCATGAGAGGTTAAAGTTATAATTTTTAATAAATTTTTTACGTATCCTTTTTGGTATTAAAAACCTATTTTATATTATAGAAAATAAATGTACGTGTGTCTTGAACTATCAACTTGTACAATTTGTAATGTTTTGTGATTAATACAAATTATACAAATGTGTTTCTAAAAGTATGAAAAAAAAGTTTATTTAATTCAAATATTTGAATATACTTGACTCCTATTATCACATTTTGGCTCAAAAAATAATTATTTAAGGGTCAGTCCAGTGACTTTCGTCTAATAGTGGTTGCGACCAAATTTTAAAAAAATCTAGTTTTAATATATATGTGAAACTCGATGATTCCCTGAGTTCATTAACCATAATATGGTAAAAATTTTATTCCCTTTAAAAATATTAAATATCAAAAGTAGGAGGTTCACAATGTGATTTTGTAACCTTAAATTTTTCAATTTTTTTAAAAACGCTATTATTAAAAAATTATTAAAAATTAGATGTTGGAACTCACGAAAAACATAAATCACTTTATTCTGCACAGAGGAACAAAAGAATTATTGCAAAAATTTATTATTTTTGGATGCTATACGATTTTTTAAAAAATTTTATTTAAATATTCTCAAGATTTTTATTTACTTATAACTTTTTTGTCGGTGCTCCGAAAAAATTGAGGTTTTGCACAAAGATTTTTTATAATATTCTTTACCTTCCTTTAAAATCTCATGAAGATGTTTTGCTTCGTTTTGAAGATAATAATTTTAAAAAAATTTTATGTAAAAGGTTAATTAAAAGACTTGAAGTTAACTGACCAATTTCAAATCGCTACATTTTTTATAAAAATATATTAAAATGTAGCGATTTGAAATTGGTCAGTTAACTTCAAGTCTTTTAATTAACCTTTTTAAATAAAAAATTTTGAAAATTAATATCTCCAAAACGAAGCAAAACACCTTCGTAAGATTTTAATAGAAGGTAAAGAATATTATAAAAAATCTTTGTGCAAAACCTCAATTTTTTCGGAGCACCGACAAAAAAGTTATAAGTAAATAAAAATCTTGAGAATATTTAAATAAAATTTTTTTTAAAATCGTATATCATCCAAAAATAATAAATTTTTGCAATAATTCTTTCGTTCCTCTGTGCAGAATAAAGTGATTTATGTTTTTGGTGAGTTCCAACATCTAATTTTTAATAGTTTTTTAATAATAGCGTTTTTAAAAAAATTGAAAAATTTCAGGTTACAAAAGCACATTGTGAACCTCCTACTTTTGATATTTAATATTTTTAAAGGGAATAAAATTTTTACCATAATATTATGGTTAATGAACTCAGGGAATCATCGAGTTTCACATATATTAAAACTAGATTTTTTTAAATTTTGGTCGCAACCACTATTAGACGAAAGTCAGTGGACTGACCCTTAAATAATAAGTATGAATGGACATATAACCTTAAACTAAAAAGTTGTTTTCAATAACAAATAAAACTGTAATTAAAATTGATTTAATGAAAAATTTGATAGATTCATCTGTATAATTTAAAAAAATTATTTGTGACGCTCCTCGGTGAACGAGTAATTAGCTGCTTAAAAAAAAAGTTTTTGCTTTATTAAAGATTTATTTTTGATTATTTAACATCAAAAGCATTTTTTTACTGAAAATATTGCATCTAATAAATAATTAAATAATAATATTTTATACTGAAAACTAGTCGCTTTTATTTATTTTTACTGCAAAAGTTTAGTTCTGTAAGCTAAGCACCCTTTCACCGTGGGAGCGTCACATTTTTTGTTCAAATAATAATTTATAATTATTTTCTGTTTTTATTTTTGAAAGTTATTGAACAATTATAATTTATACCCAATTTTTTTTTTTTGCAAGATAAAAAATTCTCTGTACAATTTTTATAGAAATGAAAAAAAAATGAAATCAAAATATGTTTTTAATGTATTTAATTAAATATACATTAAAATATATATATCTTAAAAAGGATATAATGTATTTTTTTTTCTTTTCTGTTACAGACTACAAATTCATAAAAAAAAACATATGGCCGCTTATATTTCTTAAAAGAATTGATCATCTATTAAATTTAGAAGAAGAAAAAAAAAAGTTACCAACAACTGATGATGAACTAACAAAATCAAAAGAAAATGATGAAAATCTAAAATTCTATTCATGTCGTTATTGTAAAAATAATTTTGGAACAATATCTGGAAAAACACGACATGAAAATAAATGTCAACAGAATCCAATAACTAATAAAGAAAAAATAAATTCATTATTTACTTGTGACAATTGTAATTATAATTTTAATTGTCTAGGCTTTCTGAAAAGACATAAAATCTATGATTGTGGAATTATACACAAATGTGAAATATGTAATCAAATTTATTCAACACGAAATATTTTAATGCAACATATTAAAAGAGTACATGATTAAAAAGTGATAATTTAAAAAAAAAATTTTTTAAATATGATTTTCAATACTTTTTGAAGGTCAATTCTAAAAAGTACAAAAGAATCGAGTTGAAAATCATAATTCATATTTTATACAATACATATATATCAACACACTGTGCCATAAAGAAGTGATATTTTTTTTTAACAAAAAAAAAGTTAGTGAAAATTTTGCGAAAATGAATTTTGCAATATTTGACTATTATAATCAATTTTAGTTATTGATTTAAGGTTCTAGAAAAAAAAATATTTATTTTATTTAAATAATCGGTATTTAAATAATCAAATAAATATTTACTTGAACCAAATAATTTTTATTTGAATTAAATAAACTGTATTTAAACTAATAATTTCCATATTTAAAACAAATAAAATTTGAAAAATAAATAAAAATAAAATAAAAATAAATAAAAATAAAAATTATTTGGTTCAAAGAAATATATTTATTTAATAATAATCAAGTAAACAGATTATTTGAATCAAATAAATTTTTTTTTCAATATGTCTAAAAAAGAAATTTATTAAAAAGATTTTTTTTTCAATGAAGTTTAAAATCCACTTGATTTAAAAAATATATATTTATATTTTCATTCATTATTCAAAATTGATTTCACATTTTTCTTTTGTTATTTGGTATTATTATTTTTTATGAAAATGAACAAAAAAGAAAATTAATTTTAAACATATATTTTACCAATAGAATTAATTTATAATTAAATAAATACGAGTCTATTTTTGTATAGTCGTGTATGTTTATATCATACTTTATAGTGTTGTAGTTTTGTCTTCTGATTCTGAGACGCATCAATAAGCTCTGAAATTAGTTCTAATTTTCATTTCCCAGAATTTCATTTCCTAGAATTAACTTTAAGTCAAACTTTTATTTCTTCGAATTATTATAATTATTATTATTACAGAATTGTTACATTTTGGAAGGTTCGAAATTTTTATTTATTTTTTTTTATATTCATTTATTATTTCATCGAATTTCAATTTGTCGAAATTATTATTTTCTCGAATTTTAATTCTAACAGAATATTCATTTCAAAGAATTTTTTTTATTTTACAAAAAGAATATTAGAAAAAATTATTTTCCAGTTGTATTTTCATTTTTTGTTCGAATTTACATATGTTTTATTTTTGGTATTTTAATTATTTTCATTATTTATAATTTCTCTTTAATTGCTTTTGTTTACATAAAAAAAAATTTTGTTTATATTTTAAAAATTGAATTTTTTTTTTACTTTGTTATCTTTTTACATAAATTTTTCTTCAATTTGTTATTACATAAAAATTTTTTTTTAAATGTTATTTTTAGCATAAAATTTTGTTTAAAGTTGTTATTTTGTGTATTAAATTTTTGTTTAATGTTTAACAAAAATTTTACTTACTAAATAGCAAATTAAAAATAAATTGTTATGTCGTATAACTAAAAAAATTGAAAAAAAAAAATTATGTTAAAAATAACAAAGCAAAAAAAAATAAAAAATTTCAATGTACTTTTTTTAAAAAAAATTCTCCAAATGTCGTTTTGGAGAAAATTGTAAAATTAATAAATGAAAAAACCGAAATATTTTTGCCAAATGTTTATTCGAATAAAATTAAAGTAATGTTAAATGAAAATTTGCCGTTTTAGGAATTTAAAAATAAAAAAATTCGAGTAAATAAAAATTCATTATAATGGAAATTCTTTTTAAATAAAAAATTTTTTTTCAATGAATTTTCAATTTTATGAAAATTCAAGCGAATTTTCGTAGAAATGAAAATACGATTAAATAAAAATTCTCATTAATTTTAGAGCTTATTCATGCGACTCCTGATTCTACATCAAAGTTACCAGAATATTGTTTTTATGTAAGTTTTTCTATATAAAATATTTATGTAAAAAAATATATATTGAAAAAAAAATTTATTTCATATCAAATAATCGACTATTATAATAAAATATTATTTATATTAAATAATTATATTGAGTCAATTAAATAATTTATTTGTTGCAAATAAAGAAATTATTGATTATTGATTTATTTGATTTAAATAAAAATTTTTAATAAATATTAATTTAACAATATCGATTATATTTGAACGAAATAAAATTTTTTTTTCTCATTTTTTGTTATATAGTTTGAGATTTTTGTTTATTATTGTATATTTTATTATAAAAAGGAATTTCCCATGACACTATCTGGTAACCATTTAATTATAAGAATCGATAATAAGTGAATTTTAATAATAAAATTTAAATAAGTGAAAATTATTGTTACAAAAAAAAATTGTGTATCATAATGAGATGGTATTTTTGACAATAAGAATAGTTATAGCCAAAAAGCAGCTGTAAAAATTTCTTATAATTAAAAACTTGCTTACTGCAAAAATAATATTTGCTATATTGGATTTTTTTTTATTCGCTTTTTATTCTGCATGAAAATTTTATAAAAATATATTTTTCTAATTGGTATACATTTGCATGCATATGGTCATTATATAAAAAACATATAAATAAACGCAATATAATTTAATTTTTCTTTGAAACAAAAAGAAAAAAAGCATGAAATTTAATATTATGAAATTAATTATGTTACAGGTAAATCATTTCAAATAAAAAGAAAACATCCACGATTGTTTGTTAAAAATGCTGAGTATCTAATTGCATCACAAAAAATTCCAATAAGAACAAAAAAAAATTTTACATGTCGTTTTTGTAAAATAAATTTTGGACGTCTAAATGGAAAAACGCATCATGAAAAAATATGCACACGAAATCCAACGAGTATTCAACCGAAAGAACTTTTTTCATTCAGTTGTAACGATTGTGGTTGTAGTTTTAAACAACAATGGCAATTAAAAAGTCATATAGCAAATGATTGTGGTGTGTCGCATACATGTCATATATGTAACAAAAGTTATTCAAGAATACAAAATTTACGGGCACATTTTCGTAAAGGACTTTGTAAAAAATAGTCCTTAATCAATTTCATTTACTTTTTGTTCCCTTACAAATTAGAGTTAATTTTTTAGAAACTATAGTTTTTTTCGAGAAAGAAATATATTTTTAATTTTAACTAGAATTTCTATTTATTGACATCAAATATATACTTGAAGTGATGATAAAATTATTATTTTTTAAAGACAAAAGACTTTTAATGATAATGTAATTTCGGCTGTCAAAATAAAATGCGAAACTAACCTCAATTATTGATCCAGAAACGTAACATTAAGGGGTACCGAAATATTTATCTTCTAATAATATGTATTAATAATTGAATAATTTACGTTATCTTTATCGTTTTTTTTAAATTATATATAAATAAATATATAGACTGTAAAAAATTGTCACGTTTATTAATTATTTTAAGGAAATTTAAAGCAGGCACGAGCGAAACTTTTTTTGCTTCGCACCTGTTGTATAAATAAAATTTCTGATGATGGCAATTGGTTGTGACATACGAAATTTGTACAAAATTCATTCCTAGTTAATTTAAATAAAAGAAAATAAAAAAAATGTTTGTCAATAAGCATTGTCGTGTCTACCTTTAAGTTTTTATGATTTTTATTTTTATTTTTAAAACGTCAAATTTTTTATTTGACCAAAAATGTAAATGTTCAAATAAAGATCTTAACCTACAAAAATATTTCGATCTAATTTTTAAATTTACACCGAAATTTTTCTGTTGGTTGTATATATTCGGTCATTTGTCAAAACTTCTGTTGAATAAGAATTCTTTATTTAATAAAAATTCGGTCACACATTAGAATTCTTCAAAATAATCCATTGAATAAAGAAAATTAATTTTGTGTCAATTAAAAATTCTGTTATAAGTGTTGGAAGGTCCGTGAAATTCTTTGGCATTTAATTATCGCCCTATATAAAACGGCACTGAACGTAAAAATGATAAATATTGATTTTAAAACATTTTTTCCTCGAATTGTGGACACTTTTTATAAAAATCGGCCAACGTACCAAGATTTGTTATCTTATATAAATTTCCTAAATCAGAAAGATTTTTCAAATCATTGCAAAAACGCGATCGTCAAATTGGAAATAGGAAAGTAATAATTTTAGCTTTATTACGTACTGCTGCCGTTAGATGGCAGAAGCATGTAGGGAGCACAAAGTCGCAGCTGTCATTATTATTATTTTCCTATTTCCAATTTTGCGATCGCATTTTTGCAATGATTTCAAAAATCTTTGGGATTTAGGAAATTTATAAGATAAGAAATCATGGTACGTTGGCCGATTTTATAAAAAGTGTTCATAATTCGAGAAAAAAGTGTTTTAAAATCAATGCCAACAAAATTTCGAAAACCTTTGAACACTCATAAATTAAACATTTTTTTATAAATATTAATAATTAATAAACTATTAATAACTAAAACTAATTAAATAATTATTAATAATCAATAATAAATCAATTATAGAAATTATATGGATTTTTTCGGTTTCTAAATTATTTTAAGTTTAAATAAATTTATAAATAAAAAAATTTTTTTTTAATCTAAAAAATTAAACTAAAATCCAAAATTTTAAAATTTGTATTTCTGTCGGAACAATGATTAAGTTTTACGTTGACATGGAATTTTTTTCTTTAAAAGAAACCAAAAGTTTTTTTATATTAATTTTTTTGTTAAATTTCAAAACTAATTTCGAAGTTTCATATACAAGTTTGAAAATATTAAAAATCAATGAAATGGAAATTCTGCTACTAAAAAAAAACAAAAAATTCGACGAAATTTATAAATTTATTTTAAATAAAAATTATTTTTTTCATTTATTTGTTGATAGATTTGCGGACTCAAATTTTTTAATGAAAATTCTGTTAAATAAGATTTTAAAAAAAGAAATTCTGTTAAATGCAAATTCAGTTAAATACAAAATACTAATAAGTGACTATTTGGATAAGGAAAAATTTGCTTATTCTAATAAATTTTTAATAAAAAAAATTATTTTTTCTTCATATACAGTGTATTTTTTTTTATTCTGCATGAAAATTGAACAAAAATATTTTTATTATATAAATATAGGTATGTATATTGCATGTATACTTGGTATTATGTTTATCATTTAAATAAACGTAATTTTTAATTTCGTTCCAAAATTAATTTTTTTATGTTGCTTATGTTGCAGGTGAATTTTTTCAACAACAAAAATTGCCGTTTTTATTTGTTCCAAATATTAATCAGCTATCTCTACAACATGAAATTGAAGATAATATGAGAACATATTTATGTCAATTTTGTGGGAAAAGTTTTGGACGATTAAGTGGAAGATCACAACATGAAAATTTATGTACCCGCAATCCAACAAGTAATCAACAAAAGGAAATTTTTCCATTTAGTTGTAACGATTGTGGTTGTAGTTTTAAACATAAATGGGAATTAAATGGCCATAAAGCAAATGATTGCGGTGTATCGCATACATGTCATATATGTAATAGAACTTATTCAAGACTTTATAATTTACGAGCACATTATCGAAAGGGCCTTTGTAGAAGTAATTTAATTTAATTTCAATTTCGTAATTAATACGAAAAAGAAAACGAAAAAAAAATAATTTTTAGCTACCGAATTTTTGTTTAGAAAAATTTTTATTTTACAATCATTTTCTTTAAATGACTTTTTATTTAAGGCTAGGTCCAAGTGAGGCAGCGCCATCTACATTGAAACTAAAATTTTGGAAAATTTTTAACAGCCTTTTCTTGAAAACAAGAAGGTAAAATGCTTTTTCCTTTATGGATAATTGATTATTTGCAAGATATACACCAGCTAAAACTTTTTTTGAGTTAAAATAATAAAAAAAATTTCATGTCAATAAATTAAATATGAGCACTTTTTTCACAAAAACTGTAACAGTACTTTCTCAGAAATTACAATCAAAAATGCAATTTCCATTTGGAAAATTAATAAACGCTAAAAAATACACCACCTAAGATTTACCAATCACGAAAATAACAAAAAAAATTTTATTAAATATTTAACATATTGATACTGCTTTACTGATTGTGACAGCCCTTTGGTAGATTATGTATTTCAGGTGGTTAGCAACAGCGCCAATCTCCTCCTTTCGGCAAAACCGCGAAACGTCTGGTGACATATATAACCTGCCAAACGGCTGTCATAATGAGTAAAATATGTTATGTTAAAAAACTTTTTTTTGTTATTTTCGTGATTGGTGAATCTTAGGTCGTGTAATTTTTAGCGTTTATTAATTTTCCAAATGGAAATTGCATTTTTGATTGTAATTTCTGAGAAAGTACTGTTACAGTTTTTGTGAAAAAAGTGCTCATATTTAATTTATCGACATGAAATTTTTTTTATTATTTTAACTCAAAAAAAGTTTTAACTGGTGTATATCTTGCAAATAATCAAGTACACAGCCCCACAAAAAAAAAAAAGTGTCATGTGCTTTTGACCGGAATACCCTAACCCTATGTATTTTGACGCGCTGAACACGAATCCGAAGTCCGTTTTGCTCTATCACGTCAGGATTTTTTTCTAACCTCAAAAAACATGTCGGATTTTGAGAAGTAGGCGATTATTTTAAAAATTGATGTATTAACTTCAAACTTGGTATCTGGGAGTTTTTTGTGTCGCTGATTACGAATCTGAAGTTAGATTTTCAAAATCCAAAATGGCAAATCCAATATGGCGGACGAATTTTGAAAAAATTTTAAGATTTACTTCAAACTTGGTATCTACGGGTTTTTTGGGTCGCTGATTACGAATCTGATGTCAGTTTTCAAAAATTGATAATGGCGTATCTAATGTGGCCGATAGAAGTCCATGTTGGATATGCCATTTTGAATTTTTGAAATCTGACATCAGATTCGTAATCAGTGACCCAAAAAACCCCCAGATACACTATTGTACATTAATTTTTGAAAAATTTCGTAAAATAATGTCCCCCTACCAAAAAAAATTCAAGGGGTATTTCCCCCCCATAAATCAGCTTTTGGGGAAAAACAAAACATACGTGTCAAATTGTTTTCAAAAAACTACAAAACTGACAAGTTTCAGAAAAATCGGCGTATGGCACTTCCCTAGTGTTACTTGTCAGCAACTTAGAAAACCTGTAGATACCAAATTTCATAATAATCTGACAATTTTTTAAAAATAATTCCTTAATATTGAATCAGACATATCGAATTTCGGAAATCTGACATCAGATTCGTAATCAGCGACCCAAAAAACCCGTAGATACCAAGTTTGAAGTAAATCTTAAAATTTTTTCAAAATTCGTCCGCCATATTGGATTCGCCATTTTGGATTTTGAAAATCTAACTTCAGATTCGTAATCAGCGACACAAAAAACCTCCAGATACCAAGTTTGAAGTTAATACATCAATTTTTAAAAAAATCGCCTACTTCTCAAAATCCGACATGTTTTTTGAGGTTAGAAAAAAATCCTGACGTGATGGAGCAAAACGGACTTCGGATTCGTGTTCAGCGCGTCAAAATATATATGGTTAGGGTATTCCGGTCAAAAGTACATGACACTTTTTTTTTTTTGTGGGGCTGTGTTATCCATAAAGGAAAAAACATTTTACCTTCTTGTTTTCAAGAAAAGGCTGTTGAAAATTTTCCAAAATTTTAGTTTCAATGTAGATGGCGCTGCCTCACTTGGACCTAGCCTTAAAAGAAATTTTTATTTAACGGAATTTTCATTCAATTGAATTTTATGTTATTCGAGTTTTTTAATGACAGAAATTTCAATTCTCCAAATTTTTATTTCTACGAATTTTTAATTGATATAATTTTTAAGAAGCCGAATTTTCATTTGCGTCCAAAATTACAAATGTCCCGAACAAACAATCGACAGAATGATTTCGGCGCAATTTTGTAAAAAATTGTCCAATTAGAAATTATCAAGAGAATTGTGATTGGTCAATTTTAAAAATTGCGCCAAAATCATTTTGTCGATTGTTTGTTCGGACAAATGAAAATTCTGGGTCTTAAAAATTCTATCAATTAAAAATTTTTATAAATATAAATTCGGACAAATTAAAATTCGATGAATTGGAATTTCTTTCATTTAAAAATTCGAATTACATAAAATACGATTGAATGTGAATTAATTTAATTTTAATTAAATTTAATAAATTAATTTAATTTAATTTTTAATTAAAATTTTTTTAAATAGAAAAGTCATCTAATGAAAATGGCTGTAAAAAAAATTTTACCAAAACAAAAATTCCGTTGCAAAAAATTTTGTTATATAAAAATTCGTATAAATTTGGAAAATCCGTCAAATTTTAATTTAAAAAATGAAAAATTGTCTAAAAAAAAATTTTTTTTTAAATAAAATTTTTTAAAATAAAAAACTATGTAAAAAAAAATTTTAAATTAATAGACTCAAAAATTAGGTATATATTTGTTTGTTATTGAAACCATTTTTTGTATTAATAATTATAAAATGAAATGGCGATTATTTTGTTATAATTAAATTAATAAATACATATAATTAAACCAAATAACAGTTCTAGGTCTATTGAATTTATAATTGTTAAAAAAAAAATTATGTTTATTTATGAATATAATATATTATTTTACTCAGCGAAACATTCTCTCTAATCGTAAAATATTATTATTATTGTTATTATTATTATTCTTATTATTAGTTTTATTAAATTATATC